CGCATCATGAAGAATACGATTGCTTACCATGGGGATGCACCATAGCAGCCAGTCCCGTCTCGCTGTATCCTCTGACCACAAGGCTGAGTCGTAGGCCCAGCAAGGACACAATTGCTCAAGGTAGGACATCAAGTAGCTTCGGGCTGATAAGGCCCTTCTCTGTGCAGCTCGGGCGTCACCTCGCTGTAGTCCCCCATGCACCGCGTGGTACTGCTCCTGGGGGGGCGCCACACGCCCCTTTGAATTAAGAGCTTTGCTCACCCGTATGGGCTCAAAGGGTGCACGCCCCCCCCCCCCCCCATAGCACGCCCTTGATGTCGCACTTCGGCTGGTTGTGAATACTCCAGGCCCTAGACACAGCGTCTGCCCAATCCTCCATTGGGCGCTGAGGCGTCGCTGCCTTCCCAGTAGAGGCAGCCTTCCAGTCGTAGTCCCTGTGGGCAGCAGAGCCGCCTGTCGCTAGAGAAGTCGAACTGGCCGATCCATCTCCGAGGCGCATGGCCGAAGGGGGGCCTTCGCCTCTGACATTCCCAGGGGCTCCTGAGTCTGCCAGTCGCGGAAAGCATCCTGGAGCATTGTCTGCCCCGTCTCCAAGGTGCTGGTTCTGCGTGTAGAAGTAATGGTGGCATAAATCATCAACTACCAGGTCCCGAGGTAGAAGTGAAACTTGTTGGCGAGGTCTTGGCCGTGCTGCCCCCGACGGCGTGACATCGCACTGCTGCTGCCGTGGACATCCTGACGGCGCAGCTGCGTGGTGATACTGAGGTATTGGCCGTGTAGGTCCCAACGGCTTGGTAAATGCATCTGTCATCGTGTCTTCCAAATCAGAGCAATGGCTGTGCAGGCTGTGAGGAGCTGCATGTGCTGGCTGAAGTGGCACGATTCGACGATCCGTCGACGATCCAATCTTCGAATTATCATCGTATAGGTAGGTCTCCTGCAGTCCCCAGTAGACCTTTTTCTTCTTCTTGTTGTAGTCGTTCACAGGTCTAAATCCGCCCTGTGCTCGATAGTCTGAGATTTGCTCTCGGGGGTGGTACCCGTCGGCACCAGGCTGGCGCCCGATTCGTCGGTGGCAGAGCGCCTGGCGCCCCGCGCCCTCTGTGGCGTGTTGGGTACTGCCACTGAAGCTGCTGCTGGTGCCGCCGTCGAAGCCGCTGCCTCTGGACAGAAGCCAGGTTGGCGCAGGGAAGCCTGCAGCCTGGCAGCTGACTCCGCCGCTTCTGTCCGCTGAATCGCCTCCAAAGCTTCCGCCTCCTCTACCTCTCTCACAGCTTCTACCGCTGCCGCCACCTCTGTCCTCTCGTCCTGAGAGCTGAGGATCTCGATCGGGGCGGGAGCCGTGACCGAGTGGGAAGGAGCTGGAATGGTCTCCGCTTCGAAAGGCTGAGTCGGCGAAATTTCGATCATCGGCTGCGCTGATGGCTGCGGCGTTGGCGGCATCCCCCAAAACTGAGTCGGCCCCATGGCCCCTCCGCGCTCCCACATCGAAGCTGGCACTGTGGTTGGCTGGGCTGCAGGCGACTCCTGGGACTCCGACGCTGGAGGGGTAGGTGACAAAGGCGGTATCTGTGTCGGCGTCAGAGGTGTAGCTGAGTCGGGCGTAGGACGAGGCATCAACCCAGCTGCAGAGAACATCGCCGCCGGGGCTCCCGTGGGTCCTTTTCCTGGCTGATGCTGGACTGGATGGGGGCCCACCTGGTAGGGGTCGGTCTGGGCCCTTGAATTCTCCACGCCTTTGCCCAACTTGCCGCCCTTTATAGCCTCCATCTGCATCACGATGCCGGAGGAAATCCCTGGAAACTGCTGATGCTGCTGCTGATGGAAGATAGCTGAGGCCTGGGCTTGTAGCTGAGCATGTTGCTGCTGAGCTTGCTGGGCCTCCAACTGGGCTCGGGCCTGGATGGCTTGATCGTGCTGAGCCTGGGCACACTGAGCTTGGGCTTGCTGAGCTGCCTACTGAGCCTGGGCTTGGGCTTGCTGGTTGACCTGCTGCAGGGCCTGCTGTGACTGCGAAACCTGGGCATGCTGTTGCTGCTGAAGGTGCTGGTGCTGACCAACTGTGGCCTTTGCCTGAGCCGCTTGCTGCTGAGCTGGGTTCTGGGCGTGGATCCATGTATTGCTGGAGAACTGCTGCTGCATGTGCTGACCCTGACCTTGGAACTGGTACATCAACTGCTGCTGCTGCATGAAACTGGCCAACAAAGCTTGCTGGTGCTGCTGTTGCTGGTCCCTTTCCTCCTGGCGCTTCAGCATCATCGAGAAGCAGTCGGCCATTGTGGCGTTCTGGCTCGGTGTGTAACCCAGGCGCGAAGGAATCGAGCGTCTGGCCTCCACCGCTGCCTGTGCTGATGCAGGTAGCGAAGGCCTGGTCTTGGGCGGGTATTCGCCCGTCGGCTGCTGCTGAGGCGAAGTCGGTGGCGGGTGCTGCGGGGGCGGGCAGGGCGGGCCCTCTGGGGACGCCGCAGGTGCCTGCGCTTGGCCCGTCACCGCCGCCAAGTAACTCTGCCCATAGGTCCACTGATGCCTCTGCTGCGGCGCTCCATCCATATTCGTATCGCCATTGGTCGTCGCCTCCTGCTGTGCAGCAGCGCGTTGTGCTGCCAAAGTAGCTTCCTCCTCCTGTATGGCCTGCTCGATGTCCTGAACTGACTGACGAGACTCTCCGACCAGCTCTATCAGCTCGTCCTCCTTGGTCTCCAATTCTCGTAGCTTGGATTGGAGGTCTTTTAGCTGCTCCTCGAAGCGAGACTGTCGCAGTCGTGCGTCTGCGAGTTGCTGGCCAAGGGGTTTCAACAGAGTGATGGCGTAGCTGATCATGGCCATCTCTTCTCTCTCCTGGGTCTCCTCCTTGCCAGCCCTCTTCGCCGCGACCACAAGGCGAGCCAGAGTCGTGAGGCGCTCCTTTGCTCTCTTGCTCCAGTTGGCGCGGAGGTTCTCCTGGAGCGGGGGAGCCCAGCGCTCCCACTCTGGGTGGGACTCGGCCGTCTCCTTGAGCGCGGGAGTGAGCTTGGCGACCACTTGCTGAGTCTCGCGGTCGATCGCCTGAGCCTCCTGCCATGGCGGCTTGTGCTTGTCCCTGTTTCGCTGGGCCGAACGAGCTCGAGTAGGCGCCTTGTATGTAGCACCACATGCACAGTACCAGGAAGCCGCACTGTTGAGCTGTCCGCACCCGCAACGCCAACGCTGGTCGGCTCGCCAGGCCATGAACTGCTGATCTCGTCCCACTTTGCTGAGGTAGCCCGCTGAGGGGGCTGAATGATGGCGGGCCAACAGGCGCCGTGCCCTCCACACACGTAGAAGGGTCCTGGCGATGGACCTCTTCTTTCGGGCGCGACGATGCCAGCTGGGTTCCGCTGGCTGGAAGGTGAGCGTGGTGGGCAACGGGGTGCCGCACACGCGAGAAAAGGATAGTGGTCAGCCTACGGTAGGTGCTGACGCACTGAAGGTCAGAAGACTTGCTGCGGGTCGGCCTCCCTAGGCGGACCCGTCAAGCCCAAACCTTCTCCTCCTCCTCCTCCTCCTCCTCCTCCTCCTCCTCCTCCTCCTCCTCCTCCTCCTCCTACTCCTACTCCTACTCCTACTCCTACTCCCTCCTCCTCCTCCTCCTCCCCCTCCTCCCCCTCCTCCTCCTCCTCCTCCTCCCCCTCCTCCTCCCCCTCCTCCTCCCCCTCCTCCTCCCCCTTCTCCCTCTACAGGAGCAACCGTCACTCGGGGGAGCCCGGCGTCGCTCGGACGTGCGCATTGTTGTTCGTCTCGGCGAGGACCCTGGAAGAGCACCCTGGATCGTCGAGCAAGCAAAAGCACGCAGGAGACCGAACAAGTGCACGGGGAACGGACGGCGCGAGCGATGGCAGGGGAGCGGTCGAGCGGGAGCCCTGCTCCGAGGACGAGCCGATTCGTGCTCGTGCGTGCTGGAAGCTGCCAGGGCGAACTTGCACGGCGCGGGGGCGAGAACCAGAGGACAAGGAATCGTTGTGTTGTTAATGTCTGTTTTTTGTTGGAGCTGCTCGACACGAGCAGGCGCGGCGCTGAGGCGATGCCCTCATGTTGAAAAACAAAAAAACATCGGCCCTCCATCCTTGTAGCAACATGAGCCCACGCAAGCGAATGTGCGCGGCGCTGGAGCGGGAGCTGCATTTTGAGAGCCACCAGCTCTCCAATGTGCAGTTGCTGGGAACCCTTAGAACGAACGTGCGCCGTGCTGAGGCGAGAGCCGCACGGTGGAAACGACCAGCCCTCCATGGTAAGGAAGCCTCAAGCGGAACGTCTGGCCCCGCCTACGGACACGTCTGGTGGTGCGATGTGGGCGAGCACATTCGAAGGAGGAGGAGGAGGAGGAGGAGGAGGAGGAGGAGGAGGGGGAGGGCGAAGAGGACGAGCATGAGAGGAGGGATGGGGGTATGAGTGGGAGTGGGGGTGGGGCGGGTGCGGCAGGGGGATGAAGTGGAGGCAGAGGACGAGGAGGAGGAGGAGGAGGAGGAGGAGGAGGAGGAGGAGGACGACGACGACGGCGAGTACGAGGAGGAATAGGGGAAGAGGAGGCTTTCACCCAGGACGCAACAAGCACTGTTCTTCATGTCTGGTCAACGTCAAAAAGGTTGTGGAAGTCGATTAGTGGAGAGGAAGCATGCTGCCAAACAATTGCCAGATGTCTAAAGCATGTGTTAAACATGCTTCACACATGTAAACAAAAACATGTTTAAAACACGTCTAGAACATTTTCCCTACATTTGATAAGCACACAGTTTCAGTTCAAACTCAATGATAGGACTGTTAGGGTGTCCATCGTCGTGGCATCCACAACAAAAAAGGAGGACGAATGAGAGGAGAGGAGAGGAGAGGAGAGGAGAGGGGGCGGAAGGCCCCGGCGAGGAGAGGAGAGGAGAGGAGAGGAGAGGAGAGGAGAGGAGAGGCGAGGAAGAATGAGAGGAGAGGAGAGGAGAGGAGAGGAGAGGAGAGGAGCGGAGAGGGCGCGGAGGGCCCGGGCGAGCGCCGAGGTGGGGCTTCCCCTCCCTGTTCTGCTGGGCGGTCGTGCGGCCCGACAGCTACGAGCCAGGAGCGCGCGCGCGCGCGCCGCCGCGCCCGCTCGCCACGCCGCCCGGCCGCGGAGGAGGAGGGGGAGGGGGAGGTGGAGGAGGAGGAGGAGGAGGAGGAGTATGGAGGCCTGAGGGAGGGAGGAGGTCGGGAGGAGGAGGAGAGGAGGATAGGAGGAGTAAGGAGGAGGTAGGAGTAGGGCGGAGGGAGGAGGACGGGAGGGGAGGGGGAGGAAGGAGGGACGACGAGGAGGATGAGGAGGAGGAGGGAGGAGGAAGGATGAGGGAGGAGGAGAGGAGGGGAGGAGGAGGTAGGAATGACGAGGAAGGAGGGAGGAGGACGAGGAGGAGAGGAGGGGAGTAGGAGAGGAGGATTACGAGGAGGACGTGAGTGACGAGGGGAGGGAGGAGGAGGAGGAAGGGGAGAGGAGGAGGGAGAGGAGGGGAGGAGGGCGGAGGGAGGAGGAGGAGGAGTAGAGAGAGGAGGGGATGAGGAGGAGGAGGAGGAGGAGGAGGAGGAGGGATCTGAGGGATCTGATGAAACGCCTTGGTCTGCAAGGCCCGCCACCTAGGCACGCATCTCGGACCTACGCCGAGAAGCACAGTGCCAGGCCAATGCCCAGCGCAAGCGAGGGGGATCCAGCATGGCGACGAGACCACAAGACCCCGAAGCACCGCCCGACGGCGGACAATTCAAAGGGAATCCAGCACAGTGACGAGCGACGCCAGAGACCCACGGAAAACAAAGCGCGCAGCACGAGCAGCTCCACAGATGCCCGCACAGAAATGGTACTTCAGACCGGCCTCTCGCCAGTGCTTAGGAGAACAGGCCCGCGTGAAGCAACCTAGCCGAAGGGACCTCGGGCCTACGCCGAGACCCCGTGCTGAGCCTATGCCCAGCAAGAATCAAGGGGAATCCAGCGTGGCGACAGAACACCAGCACGGCAGGACAGGCGAGGCGGATCCAGCCAGGAGGAGGAGGAGGAGGAGGAGGAGGAGGAGGGGAGGAGGAGGAGGAGGAGGAGGGGGGAGGAGAGGAGAGGAGGAGGAGGAGGAGGAGAGGATGAGGAGGAGGAGGAGGAGGGAGGAGGAGGAGGAGGAGGAGGAGGAGGAGGAGGAGGAGGAGGAGAGGGGCGGAAGTGGGGGAGGCGGTGGGCGAGGAGAAGGAGGAGGAGACGGAAGAATGCGAGGAGCAGGAGGAGCAGGAGCAGGAACAATGAGGAGTAAAAGGAGGAGGAGGAGGAGGAGGAGGACTAGAGTAAACCCATTTGGCATCAACGATGCTGAATCACACCCGTCCCAAGTCACTTCCTCATACAAGACTCGTCAAACATACATTGACGGTTTTTGTTTTCGGCGCTTGCGCAGTCGGCGCTACTTCAATTCTGGCATGAGGTGCTTGGCCCACACGCAGGGGTGTCCGACATCTGGCAGTGCCCGTACAGCATTGAGGAACGCGTTTCCTAACAAGTGCCCGAAGTATCGGGCACTTCGATTTTGAGCGGCGTCTCATTTTTTTGACGAGGCTTGCGAATCCCTGCAGGTATGCCTTTCCGCTGCGTGAAGCGCCCCCCTGAATGAATGACGAGCGCGCCCATGCGGTGGTCCTCCAGTGCGGCCCACGCCTTCCCCAGGGCTGCCCTCTTGGCTCGCGCCGGGGTCTCTCTTCCGCTTCGGTTTCGCGCCGGTGCGTCGCGTGCGTCGGTGGTCTGCAACTGGCCCAGCCGCCGCATGTGCCAGGCCTCAGCTGCCTCGATGCGCCCGTTTCGATACGCAACACGTGCCGTGTTTAAAACGTCCGTGTCAATACGTTGCGTGTTGGCTCAATGTATTGGCCCACGTTTTGGCGAACGTATCGCGTCAGACCTACGTGTTCAGTCTGCGTGTTGAACTCCGTATCGATACGCCACGCGTTGCGTGCTGCGTATCGGGGCAGCTCAGTGCCAGGCCCCCCTCGGCCTCGCCCCCCCTCGGCCTCGCCCCCCCCTCGGCCTCGCCTCCCCTCTCGACGGCTCAGCTCTCTTCGGTCCCGGCGCAGGCCCGGCGACCGCCCGCCCACGGCGCGGGCGCGCTCGGCGGGTTCGGGGGCCTTCGAACGCCGACTCGTGGCGCTGTCTCGCTCCGCTGATGCTCAGGCCCAGGCTGCCATCGCGGCCCTGCTTGCTGCATGCTTGCGCCGAGTTCGTCGTCCCACCACTCGCCTCGCGGGCGTGCCTTCTGCCACACAGCTTCTCACCCGCGGTGTGGGCCGGAGCCGCTGGTCTTGTCGGCTTCGACTGCAGGCCACGTCTCGTTCCCACACGGTCGCCTGTCCACGCACTTGCCGTGGCGCCCAGCCTTCTTCCTTTCCTCCCCCTCGCTGCTGCACTTCGTTTGGCACGGCCAACTACCCATCTTGCAGGTCTTTGCCTATCGTCCCTCCCTCCTTGGGACCTGGCCCGACCGCACCTGCCTAGTTTACAATTGCTTGCACGGCGGCCGCCCACCTGCTGGCTGGACCGCACTATTGCCGCGTGCACCCGCGTCCTCACTGCGGTTGACCACCCTTCCGCAGACTCTAAGCAGCCCGTTGTATGATGGCTGGCCAGGTTCTCCCCCTGCCGCGGCCGGTCCTCGGGGCCTTCGTTCACTATGTTGGATGAAATTTGCTTGCATGTGCACCATGCATCCATTTGCGACTGTGGTGCCACTTCGTCAGCAGAGGAAGAACTGCGTGTGTGTGTGTGTGTGTGTGTGTGTGTGTGTGTGTGTGCGTATTCGTTTTGGCCGTGACAGGATTCATTCATCATGGCGCGCTCGACTAAATTCGTTCGCCATGGGCACCTCCTCCTCGACCGCGCCTGAGGCTCCTCTGCGCCGCCGACTAAAAGTGTGTGTGCGTGTGTGCTTGTTAGTTCGTTCGTTCGTTCGTTCGTTGCCCGCCCGTAGCGGGGACACCGTGTCCATGCACCCTCTCATGCCAGGCCGCACGCCGCGGCGAGCAATGCCGGCTGCAGTGGATGAGGGGGAGGCACGTGGTTGGGGCACGTTCCATTGTGCAGCCATCCAACGCCAAAATACACACCCCGCACGGTGCTTTTATCGCATCCATCCACCGGGACCGGCCCCTTCCCGGCACTGGGCGCACCGACGCACACACGACTTGCGAGCAACACGCGCCACCTTGGTGGTTGCCGCTGTCGGTTTTGGTGGGTGGACCAGCCCGTTCCGGGTGGCGTGA